GGGGGGCGCCCGCTCCCGCCCTGCTGCCGCGTCCTCGGCCCGGGGCCTGGGCCGCGCCGGCGCCGGCAGCGGCCTCGCCCCCTCGGAGCAGCCGCGGTTCGGCTGGTCGCCCGGGCGGCAGCGGGGACCGCGGCTCCCCCGCTGCCGGTGCCGCGCGCTGCGGCGGAGCGACGGGGAGAGGGGCCGAGGTCGTGCCCTTCCGCGCCTCCGGGCCGTCTGAGCAGCGCTGTGGGCCCCGGGCAACGCCGCGCACCGGGGCCCCTGCCACAACTACAGCTGCTGCTAAGCTTGGACGCTTCCCCATTTTCCAAGGGCTGGCATGCACAGGTTAGGATGGGGCCCAGGGGCAAGTGCCCATCGGGCCCACGCGTTGAGACGGCCCTGCGTGCCGCTGGCTCGGTCTCCTCTTCCGGCAGAAAGCAGAAAGCGGTTGATGCCCCCGCATCCGTGCCCCCAGGGTGGGAAACGCTTCCGAGAAAGCGGATCCTTTTGGAGCACCAGCGCGGCCACGGTCTCGGGGGGGGGGGGGGCTGCACGGGGCCGTCATTCCCCACGAAAGAATCCACACAGGAGAGGAACCCTTGAAATGCCAGGACGGGGAGGAAAGGTTCGACCAGCCCCGGGGGTGACCCATCCTCGGGGGACACGCTCTGCCCCGGCCCCCTCCATGGCTCAGAGCGTGGTGGGCGCAGATCTGGCCTGCTCTCCGGTTGTGCATCATCTGCACATCTGAAAAGTATATGTTGTGTTTCGCAGCTCGTTCTGCTGAAATGTTTCCCTTTTCTCTGGCCTGCCTTGCAGTGACTTCCCTTTCTTTTGCGCCTCCCCCTCCACAAAAGGTGCTAACTTGGGCTTGTGCCCGGTTCTCTCTCCAGCAGAAGCCTTGCGAAAGATGCCCCCCTTGCCTGCGTGTGGGAAAGGCTTCCGTATGAAATCAAAGCTCACAAGACGCCAGAGAATCCACACGGGAGAAACCTGACGGGGGTTTTGAAGGCAATAGAAGGCTCCCACCGCGGGTCGCCCAGCGCTGGACTCGGCATCCTTTTCGGCGAGGTCAAGGTGGTCCTTTGTGCCGAGGCTTCTAAAAGTTTCCTTGGCCCCCAGGCTGTGGTGGGGGGGGCGTTTGGCTTTTAGGGGGTCATTGTTCATCGCAAGTTTCAGTGGTTTGAAATTTTGAAAGGATCCTTCGATGGGATACTATTTTTCCTGCACTGGGTCACCTGGGTTTTGCGGATTGCGGAAAACTGCCCGGCGCACTTTGGCGGTGGGGCGGGCTGCAAACGGAGATGGCCATCCTCGCCCAGGGTGCGGGCTCCCCTTTCTGAGCCCCCGGCCAGCCGCTCCCCTCCGCCGGCTCGCCTGCGTGTGCCGGGTGCCGTGGGGAAGGGCCGCTCCCGGACACAGTGCTGCTGGCCTGGTGCAGGCAGCTCTCCCGAGGTCCCCCGGGGGCAACTTGCACCAGGAGGTGCCCCCGTGTGCCCCCGCCTGTGCGTTGCTGGCATCCTCCGGCCCCTCTTGCGGTGGAAACGCCGGGTGTGAATGCGGCCCGCAGCGCGTATATGAATGCCTTTTGCAGCGAGCTTTGGGCGCCACTGCTGGGCACCGGATGGCCTGGTGCTTGCAGCCGGGCCTCAAGCCAGAGGAACCGCTGCGGGTTAAGTTTCGAAAACTGGTGGGGTGATGCAGAGCAAGGGTGAGTCACTGCCCTCCCTCCTGCGTGTAAACACGAAGTGCCACTTCCAGGGAAAAGCGCCGTCTGGAACATACTCGAAGGGCAGCATCCTGCCCATGGAAGGATCCTGGCCTTGTGAGCTCGCCGTCCGTGCGCCGGTTTCCTCTTGAACCCCTTTTCTTGCTGACTAGACTCGATCTGTCCCCGTGATACCCCTGCTGCACCCAGTTCCTCTTCCAGCAGTTTTCTGCTGACTCAGGAGGGCCAGATTCGGGGTTCTTCATCCAGGTTCTTGGATGGATGGATAAAATCAGTTGCGATGAGGCAGAGCAGGGGGTGGGGGCAGCTGGGGGGGGGCAGTAGGCTGCGGGGGGGACCCAAAGTTCTCCTAAGCACCTCTCGTGCTGTTCTGCCGTGTGATGCCCGAGCTGACGAGGGCCGTGGCGAGAAGCCCAAACGGGCAGGAGCCGGCCAGGTGCCCCCCACCTCCAGTGCCAAGCTCCTCTAGCCAGCGCAGAGCAGAGGCCTGCTTCTGGGGTGCCCCGGACGTTGCGGAGGCCATGGTCCCCAGCGTCAGAGCTTGCCTGTCTGGACGCGCCAGCGGGTCACATGCCCCGATGCCTCCTCCGGATGACATCGGCGAGTGGCCCAGCCGCTGGACTATAAGAGGGCGGGAAGGGGGAAGTTTCGCAGCATCCGCGCTTGCTGTGAGCCTGAGGCAGAGAGGGGAGCCTGGTGTCCTGCCAGCAGGTCCAGGCGCCACCCAGGCACGGCAGAGGTTTGGTGCCAGCCCAGTCGTTTCGCGAGGCCACCAGCATGGGTCCCCTTGCCCCCATCGCCCTCTTCGTGGCCTTTGCCCTCCTCCACGCTGCCGGTAAGTAACCCAGGCGCCGCAGCCCCTGCCTTTAGTGCTTTCCTTATTACGCTTTGGGTTCACACCTGGGCACAACCATGTGGAGACCCTCCTGAGCAGTCAGAGCAGACCATGGGGGCTCGCTTTGGGTGTCTAAAGCCTCGTAAACTTGGGCCCAGGGTATGTGGGAGCAGATGCGTGTGCTGCCTAGATCTGCCACAGCTTTCCTCCCAAGGAGCAAGCGTCTTAATTTCTCGGCTGCAGTCCCCGTCTGCAGTGATCTTGGAGCCCAAGGAAATGAAATCTGTCATTACTTCCATTTCTTCCTCTTCTATTTGCCAGGAAGTAGGACCAGATGCCATGATCCTACTTTTCTTAATGTTGAGTTTCAGGCCAACTTTTGCACTCTCCTCCTTCACCCGCATCAAGAGGCTCTTTAGTTCTTCTTCACTCTTTTCCTTTAGAGTGATGTCGTCTGCACACGACAATTTTAATTCCCCTTTGTGATTCCTCTAGCCTGGCCTTTTGCATGATGTGCTCTGCATATAAGTTAAATAGGCAGGGTGACAATATACAGCCTTGCTGAACTCCTTTCTTAATTTTGAACCTGTCAGTGGTTCCATGTCCAGTTCTCACTGTTGCTTCTTGACCCACATAAAGGTTTCTCAGAAGACAGGTGACATGGTCTGGTACTCCCATTTCTTTGAGAACTTGCCACAATTGGTTGTGATCCACACAATCAAAGGGTTTAGCATAGTCAATGAAGCAGAAGTACATGTTTTTCTGGAACTCCCTAGCTTTTCACATGACCCAGCGTATGTTGGCAATTTGATCTCTAGTTCCTCTCCCTCTTCGAAATCCTGCCTGTACGTCTGGTAGTTCTCGGTCCACATACTGCTGGAGCCGAGCTTGTAGGATTCTGAGCATCACTGTGCTGGCATGTGAAATGACGATTCTTCTTTCTGGGCTTACGCTGCAGCCAGGTCAATTAACGCTTGCTTTCCTGTTGCAATATTGCCTACTTTCTATTTCATTCTTTTTGATGCGCGGATACAGGTTCTTGGTTTTGTGCATCGGTTCGATCTCATAGGGTTTGCGTGGCTTGCCTGCCCTGCTTTGAGATGTATACATGCACGTGTTCACAGTAATTGCAGAAATACAGGAATAAACAAACCGCACCTCTGCGCTGGAACAGATCTTGTACCAAAGTTCTAGCCGTCGTGGCCGGGGCTCTTTTGCGTGGTTCCAGAAATGTGGGATTCAGCCTGCTCCCTCCCTCTCCCCCCCACCCCCCGCTTTCCTTCCCAGGAGCTGTGGACCCAACCTACAATTTAGCCCGCCCGCTGGGGAGCTCGGTCGATTTCTCCGTGGCGATCCCGAAAGGCACCAACTACACATTCGTTGTCCTGCAGTCCACCACCAGGGGAGAGGCGGTGGTCCTCTGGGAACCCGGGAAGTCTCTCAGGGTCCTGAACCCCAGCTATGCTAACAGGATCGTCTTGCTGAAGGATGCCAGTGCCTTCCGAGTCCACAATTTGACCCTGGCAGATGGCGGGGACTACGAAATCGTGCTGCGTGCGCCGGAAAGGCTCCATGACGTCCCGCTGAGGAAGTACACCCTGTTCGTCTTCCGTAAGTCTGGGAAGGGAGGCGGCTGGCTTGGGGAGCCCTGGAGCAGTCCTCGGATGCGCCGGCGGCAGGGAGGTAGTTGGGTGTAGTTTCCGGGAAGTAATAAGCCACTCACGAGCATCTCCTGCCCCGTTGCTTTCTTCAGTGAGCTGTGTCTGGATCCAACCTTTTAAAAACATGTTTTCTGTGTAGAAGAAATGCTTGAACATTTGCAGGGCAGAGTTCACAACATCATGGCAGCCCGACGTGGCCTCCTTAAGCCACGGTGGGTTGTGGCACATGCCGGAGGCCGTTGTGACTATTCAAGCTGCGGTGGGCAGTTGCCATGGGCTCTTGTGACGTGTGAACCCAGCAAGGTTGGCTTGCTGCCCTGGGTAACAAACCAGTCACAACCCGTGGACTGTTCCTGGGTTATGGGTGGGTTCTTAGCTGTGTCAGCAGCCCACGGTGGAGGCAGTGGGCTGTGTCAAGCATGTGATCCGGCCTCAGGCTGTGTCTAACTTCTTTTGGGGTGAGAAATGTATGTTTACCACATGAACTTTTCAAGAAAAATGCAGCTCAGTGCTATGAGGAGCAATGACTAATGTTTGTGGTTTTTTGAGAAATTCTCATTTCCTCATCCAGCAGTTGCTAAAAAGCTGGAGGCTTGCTTTTTTAACATTCACACACTTCCACAGATGTTACACACTTGATGCGACCTCCAACGTAAAATTAGCTTGCGAGGGGCTACAGGTCTTGTTTCTGCTCAGCAGGGATGTGAGTTACACCCCAGGAACTTTACCAAGGAAGGCTGAAACGCCTGGCTTTTAGGCCCCACTGAAATCCGGTGGTCACAGACCATAATATGAAATATAAGCCACTGGATAATATAAACCCAGACCTGAATTCCCACAGACCGGGATCCCTTCTGCGAAAAGCCAGTTTGCACACTACGTTTCACCTGGAGGGCCGCCTGCTTTCGTGTGGCTGTTTCTCTCGCCTTCCGTGTAACAAACGCACCCAGAGAGCTCCCTGTGGGCAGGGCCCCTGGCCGGGCCCTCTCTTTACCGTTAGGGGACGAGCCTTCGCTCCACGGCAGAGCCCCTGCTCGGGAAGCTGCCTTGGAGAGGCCGCACGCCCCACCTCGGCCAGCGTCCCTTCTGGTCGCCCCAGGGGCCCGGAGGCAGCCAGGGGCACCACGGCAGTGCCGGGCAGCCGCCAGTTCTTGCGCCGTGGGCCTGCCTGCCTGCCTGCCTGGGTCCACCAGAGCTAGCCCAGCTCCGGCGAGAGCGGCCCGACATCACCTGGAAGGGCACCTGCCGGGTGACGCGTCCCGGGGGGGCTCCCCGGCAAGCGCCCGGACGGCTGCCCCTTCCCGCAAGCATCCCGCTGGTGCCCAGCCGTCTCCTCCAGCCCCGCATCCTCTCTCAGCAGGGCAGCACTGGAGGCAGCGAGTCGCTTTCCTAGCACAGGGGCTTCGCGAGCAAGACCAGGCCGCTCGGGGCGGACGCAGGGCCGGAAGGGCCGGGTTGTGGCTCCCCGGTGTGGGCACCGGGGGGTTGCCCCCCCGTCCTGGGCCATTTCTGACCTGTGGCCGCCTCTGCCCCTCCTCCCCCTCCGCTTCCCACGCCAGACATCAACATCACCACCGAGCCGCTGGCCAATAGCTCCTGCAGCCTGCTCCTGATTTGCAAGGCCGGGACGGGGCGGAAGACCCGGGTGTCCTACTCCTGGAAGGAGCAGAAGTCCGGCATCACCCTGTCGCAGGGCGCCTGGCTCAGCATCGTCCTGCACCCCGCGGACGCGCAGCAGCGCTACACCTGCACCGCGCAGGCCCGCGGCATCCAGAGCGCGCTCAGCGTCGAGCCCTACGAGTGCTGCCCCCACAGCTCTGCGGTTACAGGTAGGTCTTCGCAGGGGAGCGGGGAGCCGGCGGCCCCCTCTGCCGGCCACCGCCGGGTCGGCAGGGTGGCAGAACGCTGCTTCCCACCGTGCCTCCGGGCGGCTCCGGCTGCGACCGACGGGAAGGGCTGGCGTGGCCGAGCGCTTGTCGAGGGCAGGCCTTCCTCTGCACCGGGTGGGTCGGGCTGGGGACCTCGCAAGGGCCTCTCCCGTTTGGGGGACGTGTGCCAGGCGCTGAGAGCAGCCTGTGGCTCCACAGGCGAGAACCTCTGTGAGCTGAGAGGGCTGCGTCTGCCCCCCACCGGGCAGCTCGTGGGGCAAGAGCGCCTGCCCCCTTTTTGTTTCTGCTCAAGCCCCGGTTCCGGCAACGGGCCCCCACTGATCCTGGGGCGAGGGGTGGGTCCTCGGCCCCCTTGCGCCACGACGGAGCTCACGCGAGGGGGAAAAGGGCGATGGGAAGCCACGCCGTCTTTGCCGCGCTCGGTTACACCGAAGCCAAACAGCGGGACAAACGTACAGCGTGCCAGAGTAACATTTTTTGAGATCTAAGCGAATTTGTCAGCTGCGTTTTCAGAATAGCTCCATTTCTGAAGTTTGCCGGAGCAAATGCGCTCTCTTTAGCAGCTTTTTAGTTGTCCTCTGCATTATTCATTTGCTTCATTATTCGCTATTCAGCAATTCTTTTTGAAGTTCTTTAAGTCATTATTTGGCTAACCCATGCCACATGGTGACGCTGATGAAGAAAACGGATAATTATTGGGGCGGTGGCCGGCCCGTCTGCGCGAGGCTGGCACGAAGCTCTGCGGAAGCTTCTGGGGAGCGGAATGGGGTGGGGGCCATCAGGCCCTGCAGCCGGAGCCCTGCCAGGCACGCAGGGAGGGGGCCATGTCCCGGGGAGGGTCCATCCTGCAGGGCCATGGGAGGATGTGCACGCTGCGGGCTCGGTGGGCAGCTGGGGGCCCCGGCTGGCCAGGCCAGAGGCGGGGGGCATGCAGCTGGCCTCCCCCACCCCAGGCGGGCCTTCCTGGGTCTTCCGTGGGCCGCAGGGGAGCGTCGCTCTGAGCGTGCGTCACTCTCCCTTTTCAGGAGGCGCCACCCGTGGCCTGCCGTTCCACAGCTGGATCTCCCGGGCTACGCTTGCACCCATGGCCGTCGCCCTCCTCCTGCTGCTGTGACACCAGCCACCGACTGGCACAGAGATGGGCCACCCCTCGCCACCCGGCCCCCCGCCTGCTCGCCGCGGCCGCCCGCTCTCCTTGCTGCACGGCGAACGAGGGCGGGAGAGCAGCTGGACGCCCGGAGGAGGCAGGTTGCCTGGGCAGAGCCCTGCGGGACAGGGGGCCCTTCTGCCGGGCTGAGCCCCCAGTGCAGCGGTTCTCCGTGAGGCTTCCTCTCTGCGCTGCTTTCCCCGGAGAGCTGCTGCCCTTGGGTTAGCCCTTTGGGGTGGGTGGGGAGGGCGGGGGGCGGTATGGAGCCCTGGGGGGCCAGGGTGGTCCGGCGCTCGGGGGCATCACCCCTGCCCTGCCCCGCAGGGCCCAGGCTCCCTCCCAGGCAGCGCCTCCAGCTCTGGCGGGAAAGATCCTCCCGGAGCCCTGGAAGAGCTGCTGCGGGCCAGAACCGGGCTCGGGGTGAGCCAGGCTGGGCACGGCGGTCTCGGGCGCCAGGCAGCTTCCTGCACCCTCCGGAGCTCCTTCACTGGCCTCCGCTCTGCCTCCTGTGATTTGGAAAGGGGCTGCCGGGTTTTTACAATCACGGCGCCTACGTTAACCGCTCCCCCTTTGCAGCGCTGCCTTTCTCGCCTCCCAGCCAGGCCACATGGTGTGGGCGGCAGCGTGCAGGCGGTTTGCCCCCGCTGGAGATTTGCCCCCCAGGCTGCCCCTGCCGTGTGCCCCATGTGCATCTCTCCTGGGGCTGCCCCCCCCCCAGTTTGTGCATGGGAGGGAGGGCTGGCCGCGGAGCCCATCTCCTCTGTGGGGCATTGGGGAGGGGGCCCAGAACTGGCGGGAGGGTTCTGGGGTCCCTCCGCAGTCGCCCCCTGCTGTGGTCACGCACCCGCCCTGCTCACCTGCGCGTGTAGCAGGGAGACGCTAGCCACTGGCAGTTCTGCAGTGGGTGCAGGACTCTGACCTGCCCAGCAGGGGGCAGCAATAAACCGTGATGCGCAGCTCCCAGTCTGGTTCCTTGCCGCGCGGTGCCTTCGATGCCCGAAAGGGACACGTCTGTGCGCGTGCACAGGGGAGCCGCGGGGTCCTGCGGGTGCGTCCTATCCGTGTGTGTTCCCCCTCTGAATCAGCCCCCCGACTGCAGTGGGATCTCCCCGCGAGCAAGCATGCCTCGGATGTCGCGCTTCGCCGCGGTCCGGCACTGTGGCCACACTTCGGGGAGCGCGTGGCTTGGCTCTGGGGGCAGGAAGAGGCTGGCCGGCCGGGGCCACGCACTCCGGGGTCGCACGGCAGGGCCGGCGGGGCAAGGACGTGGGCTCCGGCCCTTCCCTGGGGCGCTCTCACCTGGGAAGGTGCAGTGAAGGGGGGGTGAAAAACGGGGCGCTGTGGTCTGAGGCTGGGTGGCGGGGGCGGGTGGGTGCGTGGGGCTTGGGTGGGCGGCCTCCTGCGGCTCCTGCTCCGAGACACGGACAAGGGGGCCGGGCGCCCTCGCCGCTTCCACCCTGCTGCCGCTCGGTGTATTTATGGCTCCGGATCGGGAGGGCAGCCCATCACTCAGCATCCCATAAAGCACCCCTCAGTTTATAATAAGTGAATTATTTACTGGCGACCCTGGCTAAATGCTGAGTGGTATAAATTATTGAGCGACAGATCTGTCAGGAAGTTCCCATAAATAAGTAATCCAGTGCCGTCTTAATGTTCCCACTAAATTACTCCCGTCTAAACGCTCTCTCGGGAGTATTGCTCACGCCAGCCGGTCTATGAATCAGGGCTGGGGAACGGGCCCGCCTGTCCGTGGCTGCCTGCGGGGCATCCGGGGTCTCCGCGGAGCCCTCCGCCTGCCCCCCTCTGCTCCCGGGAGGAGCCGGTGGAGGGGTGGCTGGTCCGGGGCTTTGGCCACGGCGGCGCCGGGGTCGCCTGCCTGCTTACCCATGAGCCAGTGGCACGGAGCTCAAAGGGGCTGCTTCCGGACAGGCTGCGGGTAGCACTGGGAGAGCTGAGGGTTTCGCGAGAGCAGGTTGCCGGCGCCATCCCAAAGACGGAGTGTTTCCAAATTACAGCCTGGCTAGAAAAACAGCAATAAAGCTCGAAGCATAAACCAGCCTCCTGCCAGCACGCGGGCCATCGAGCACAGGGCGGTGTGATTAAGACCTCGGCTCAGCCATTTGTTATCATCATTGGCTATTATTAACATTTTCAGACTGGTTTTGCCGAAAACCCGGCCGTTGTGGGGGTGCAGGCGTCCCTCAGCGTCTCGTGCCCCCGGGGCCCCAAGCAGCAGCCTGGCAGCCTCCAGGTGGCCCCCGGCCCCCTCGTGGCCAGTGGGGGGGAATTGTGGGAGCTGCAGTGCAGAGCGTGCCGGCAAAGGCGCCGGTTGGCCTTGTCCTCGCCCAAAAGGTCCTGCCGGCTTGGGGGCCAGGCCCGGCCTGCGGGAGGACCTGGCGGGCGATCCCCAGGCCGTACGAAGGGCCTGCTGTGTCGGAACGAGGCAAGTCTGCCTGGCCAGGGGCCTTGTGCCCTCCAGCAGCCGGGCGCTGGCAGGTCCGAGGGTGAGGCTGGCTGGCAGCCCCCACGGCCAGGCCTGCACCCCTTCCCTGCCGGTCACCGCTTCCCACCACGGTGGCGGGAAAGAGGAAGGATGACCGGGCCTCCTCGCTCATCTCTCAAGGAGGCAGCGACACGGAGTGACGTGGAGCAGGAGGAGGGGAGAAAGTGCCGGGGGGGGGGGGGACGAGGTGGTGAGAAAGCGGCTCAGCGGTGGAGCCGGCGGGGCAGGAACAGCCTGCTCCAGGAAGCCCACAGGTGGGGCCACAGGGCCAGGGCCCCTTCCCCTGGCTTGCCTGTCCCCAGCAGCTAGTGCAGGGCCCGGAGGCAGAGCGCCTCCGAACACCGAGGCTCCGTCCCTGCCTCGCAGAGCGATGGAACCACGCTTCCCTTTGCCGCAGCATCGCAGGCTGTCCCTCAGCAAGGCTTGTCCTTCCATGCAGAATTCTGCGGAGGTCGTGGCTTCTACCGACCGAACTGAAATAGATCGGGCACACTTCCACAAGCTCTGCCCCTCCACTGGATCTTAGAAATACTTCCAGCGGTTGATCTACCTTGTGCCAAAATACTGCGTTCGTGGAGCACGCGAGGCCCACAACGGAACACGCTGCTTTGTCAAAATGTTTCTGCTGTGGCTGCGGCCCAGGCCGCCCAGCCAGTGCCCCCCGCAGCCCCTCCGCAGCCCCGCGCTCATTGCCGTGTTTTATGACAACGAGCCGCAGGCACGCCGTCCTTCCCGGGGCGCGGGGAAGGTTTCACTGGGGCAGCAACAGCCGCCAGACAAATATGCCGTTGCCTTCCACACCCTGCCCCACACAGGTGACTCTGCTTTTACTGCCAAAAGTCTTTTGCATTCATCGCCCCTCCATCGTGTGAGGATAACTAGAGCGATAACTCTCTCTCTCTCTCTCTCTCTCTCTCTCTCTCTCTCTCTCTCTCTCTCTCTCTCTCTCTCTCTCTCTCTCTCTCTCTCTCTCTCTCTCTTAATTAAACCTGTGGCAGGCTGAATGCGTGTGGTTGTAAATAGCAGTGCAGCGGCCGAGTCGCCTCCTCTCTCTGCTCGTAAAGCTGACGCGCAGTCCCAGGGGGGAGCTCGTTGGGGGTTTTATGCCCCCTCGTTTTTCACCAGCAAATCGGAGGGAGGGGGAAGCCACAGTGGCGGGGCGAGGGAATGACCCTCTATTTCAAAGCGTGGGGCGGGAGTGCGGAGGGGGATTTCTCCGCCGCTCTGCCCACTCCAGAGAAGAGTTACGAGGCTTGTCTTCCCACGCGGTGTCTGAAGCCGAGGCAGGAGCGTCTCCGCTCCCCGTGGACAACAAGCAGCCCTTGGCGGTGTTGAGCACGGGGCGGGGGGTGTGGGTCTCGCTGCAGGCCGCCCGCGTTGTCTGCCTTCGTTGGCACCTGCTCTCCGGGGCACCGGCAGGGGCCTTACTGGGGCTGCTCCCCCGGCTCCCTCCGACCGGAGGCTCCGGTGGATGGTGGTGCGTTGGCACGGGACCAGGGGCCCCTCTGCTCTGTCGTATCGGGGGGGGGGCACATGCAATAGGAGGAGGCTGTAACGGGGCAGGGGGCACCCTAGGGCAGAGCCATGGCATAAATAGGAACGGAGGTCTCGGTGCCAGCACACGGATGCCGCCCGTTCCCAGGCCGAGCCAGGCTGCAGGGCTGCCCCTGGGCCTCCTTGGCCCAGCCTCAACACCTTCTTCAAAGCTCCAGAGAGTCTCATACACCCGAGGGACTAGAAACTTAGTCTGGAAAAAGATCAGCAAGACCGCCGGGTCAGTTACTGCAATCTGCCCCGTGCCTTGCCCCTCTTAAGGAGGGTGCTCATTCTTCAGGGTTGGGGTTTCTTGTGGGGCATCGGGGCGGCGCTTGGGGGTCAGCAGCGGCTGGCGAGGATGGCCCCGTGCATCAGGCCAGCGCTGCCCCAGGAAAGGTCCGAAGCAGCTCCCACCTGGCCGGGCAACGAGGCCCCTTGCGAGGCTGGTGGCCGAAGAGCGACACTCGCCCAGCCCCGCCGCCCCCAGCCCGCCAGCCACACGGGCGCCGGAGCAGAGCCGGCCCGGGGCCGCCGCGGAGCAGCTGGCCCGGGCCCATGTTCGCGGAACGACTGAACGCGCGTCTGCAGGACAGCTCATTCGCACAGAGGAAGCTGCGCGCTAGTGAGGAAGGACGTGGGCCGGGCCGGGCCGGGCCGAGCGGGGGCCCCCGCGAATGAGGCGGCTCAGTCTCCCTCCGGCAGGGGGCGGGTGATTTGCCCAAGCATGCGCAGTGCTGAGCGTCCCGCTTTCGGCTTCCCTCGCCCGTGGTGGGGCTTCGCCTGAAAGGAGTGCCCCAGAACATGTGCAGAGTGCTGCCCCACTTTTCCCGGGGAGTTGCCCGTCTGGAGAAAGGTGAGTGCGCGGCCTGCTGGCCTCTCCTTCGCAGGGGCTGCCCAGCGGGCCGCTTTGCCTGCCTCCCTGCAGGCCAGGCCGTGGCCCTCGCCGCGGTGGCTGGGGATGTTGGGAGCTGTAGTCCAGCACGCTTGGGAGTGCTCCTCAACCCAGAGCTTTCACTGGAAGCTCAGGTGACAGCGGTGGTGAGGAGCGCTTTCTTTCAGCTTCGGCTGATCCATCAGCTGCGCCCCTCCCTGGAGTACGACTGCCTGGCGATGGTGACACGTGCGCTGGTGACTTCCCGCCTTGACTTCTGTAACGCGCTCTACGTGGG